CCCACCTCACAGCCCACATCCACCTCACAGCCCACATCCACCTCACACCCCTCCTCACAGCCCACACCCCTCCTCACAGCCCACATCCACCTCACAGCCCACACCCGCCTCACAGCCAACATCCCGCCTCACAGCCCACACCCCGCCTCACAGCCCACACACCGCCTCACAGCCCACACACCGCCTCACAGCCCACTTCCCGCATCACAGCCCACAACCCGCCTCACAGCCCACATCCCTCCTCACAGCCCACATCCCACCTCACAGCCCACACCACCTCACAGCCCACACCACCTCACAGTCAACACCCCGCCTCCCAATCCACACCCCGTCTCACAGCCCACACTCCACCTCACAGTCCACACCCCACCTCACAGCCCACACACCGCCTCACAGCCCACACACCGCCTCACAGCCCACATCACGCCTCACAGCCCACATCCCACCTCACAGCCCACACCCGCCTCACAGCCCACATCCCACCTCACAGCCCACATCCCGCCTCACAGCCCACATCCCGCCTCACAGCCCACATCCCACCTCACAGCCCACATCCCGCCTCACAGCCCACACCCCGCCTCACAGCCCACACCCCGTCTCACAGCCCACACACCCCACCTCACAGCCCACACCCCTCCTCACAGCCCACACCCCTCCTCACAGCCCACACCCCTCCTCACAGCCCACATCCCACCTCACAGCCCACACACCCCACCTCACAGCCCACATCCCTCCTCACAGCCCACATCCCCTCTCACAGCCCACATCCCACCTCACAGCCCACACCGCCTCACAGCCAACACCCCGCCTCCCAATCCACACCCCGTCTCACAGCCCACACTCCGCCTCACAGCCCACACCCCACATCACAGCCCACACCCCTCCTCACAGCCCACATCCCACCTCACAGCCCACATCCCACATCCCGCCTCACAGCCCACATCCCACCTCACAGCTCACACCTCACAGCTCACATCCCACACCCCACCTCACAGCCCACATCCCACCTCACAGCCCACATCCCGCCTCACAGCCCACATCCCGCCTCACAGCCCACACCCAGCCTCACAGTCCACAAGATGATATGGACTTTCATTGGTCTAATAATGGGATGCTTTTTCAAGTCAGGTGCATAATATGGCAAAAGCATTTGGTATATTCATCATATAAATCACATCAGTTGACAATCAATGTGCACAGATGCTTGAATAGTTTGTGTAAAATATAACAAACAACAATACAACTCCAGCTGGGCATTCGTTTTGGATGACAATCTGGGAACTTCATGAGGCAATGTGGCAAAATGTAGTTACTTGGTTCATTCACTACTTGGTACTACTCACCTATCATGACAGCCCTTCCTTTTGGATCTACAGCTAGGTATTGCCCAGGCACAATCCGACGACATCCACTTTTCCCAAATGTCTCCTGGTGAATCTACACGGGGATAGAGAACATATAATCAAATAATCGACACATTTTGAGGGGGTTACTCAACATTTCCAATACTTTTTCTGAATGTTCTTCATAAACATGTGCGCACAAGTAGTCATTTGGCAGAATATACTGATGCTATCAGAGCTGCAGATAAGCAACACATTTGCGTAAAAGTAGCTAATTTCCAAAACAAAATTACGAGATAATTTACTTTCCTAGTCAAGCCTATATATTTAGAACAGTTATATCGATCTAAAACATTATTTCATTTTTTTAAAGTCTTAAAATGTTCACTCTTTTTGGAAAAAAAACCAATAGAGTAATGAACAGATGAGCGAAAAAATATTGGTTACCCAATGAAAAATGTAACAACCCGATCAAAATAAAGTAAAAACTCAATTGCTCAAAAAGTTATCTGGAGCTCTGTGCTATGACGTTCAATTATAACCCATTGTATTTCACTGAAGAAGATACTGAAAAAGACTTTGATCCTTTTCATATTAACGTATCAGATCTTGAAAAAAATCTACGTGATTAAAAAACAAATGAACTTACCCGTTCAAATATATTCTTTGATGGAATATATTCCAAAATTACAATTCTGCCTGAATCTGAGCCAACAACTATGTAATCTGAAATGAATGTAGCATTATCAATTAGTTATTTCATAATACAGAAAAACAGGCTGTTACTTGAGTGAATTCACTTAAACCATCAGCTACCAACCTGAGCGAGGAAGTGCAAGTGAGAGAGTGGGGGAAGGAGAGGACAAGGGAGTGAGGGAGTGAGAGAGTGAGCGAGCAAAGAGTGTTTCACGCCAGAGTGAGCGAGTGTTTAACGTGGCACTCCGTAATATTCCAGCTATATGACAGTGGTCTGTAAATAAGTAAGTCTGAACCAGACAATCCAGTGATTGACATCATGGGCATTGACCTACACAATTGGGATACAATGACACGCAGCGAACCTGACCACAAGCAGTTGCCTAATATGGCAAGCATGGGTTTTGCTGAAGATCTATTCTAACCTGGATCTTCATGGGTCAAGTGGGTTTTATGCCGCTCTCAGCAATATTTCAGCAATATCATGACGGCTTCACACATTGTATCCATATGGAGATTCGAACCCGGGACTTCAGCATGACAAGGTAGATATGAAGTTTTTGTGCATGATTTGCGTTTTTACTTAAGAAATGGAGATACAAGGTGAGCGGTGCTGTACGTTGTGTCTGGACTTGTGTAAAGATATAATAGGATACTGCATTTCTGACACTCGTCTAAGATACGACACAAGGGCCTGTGCCCAGGGGTACTAGTTATGACCTACCTTTAGAACCTCCTGTAAGCCTGAATGGCATGATAGCTCTGATGACACCGAACACCTCCACGGACAGCACTGGGTAGATCTTCCCCGTGTTGGGGTCATGGCGGAGAAGTTCGAGCGTCTTCCCACGAGCTGCTATCACTTCCTGCAGTCTTGAACCGGAGAAGTTGCCGTGGATAGCAAAACTGATCCCAGAGGATCTCTGTAGGGTCAGATTGTACAGAAACATTTTGTGGATCTGAAAACATAGAAAAAAAAGAGTTAAATCGTCGTACTTTCAATACAAGCATTATATATATACATGCTATAATTTTCTGCTCTGACGTAATTTTCTTTGAAAAGCCAGCTTGTTGATACAAGTCACCAATTTGAAACTGAAAGAGCAATGTTCATGACTTATTTTCACTAAAGAAAAACAGCCGTGTTAAATGTTGCAGTCAGAATTATTTAAACTATATCACAGAAGCCAGTAGAGACGTAATGGTTCTCTATGTTTGGTGCATTGTGACAAATCAGGTGCCAAATGAGTATTAGATTGGTAAGTCATGTATTGACAGGAGTACAAATTTATCAAGAATATAAAGATGACATGACCTGCTCAGCTCCATTTTGCATTACCGTATTTTCTTAAGTATAGTGTGCACCCAAGCATAATGCGCACCCCCCTCTGGGGAAAACAATATTTTGGATGCCAGCAAAATTGACAAAAAGGAACATACAGTATTGAAATTCACGTAATGGCTTGGCCGTGGTGCCTTGTATTTTCCCGATAAAAAAGATCAACATTATAGAGGAAGAGCCTTGTGCTTAAATTTACATTATTGCACTTAGTTTGGAATCTAAGAAATATCCTCGAGGCTGGCATATTGCAAAGTGCAGTGTAAAACAAGAAACTAATGAACAAATGCAACAAGCCAGTGGGGTCATAACAAAGTGATAATTTGTTAGCAAGGTTTGTTAGGTAAATCAGATTACTTAGGCCTAATTCCAATATGCATGATAACTAACTTATAATGGGGTCATATTCAAAGATTAATATTAGCCAATGTCAGCAATGGTCTCAATGTTCAACGGTTATTGTAGAAACGCTGAAATTGAAAGAGGACCCTAAGAACGTAGATGGTTAGAGTCATAGGGTAGAATGCCATCCTTTGAGTTCCAAATCATTAATACTCCCCATTTGTTACACTCGTTCTACAAATTAGGGAACATGGCCAATATATGGTTGCTAATAAGGAATAGATCTGGCATTTAAGTCTCCCCAAATAGATCTACAAATGGTTATTTTTTCTGCTTTAGCAATGAATCGCTGAAAGTCATTTTTTGTGAATTTTGTGCAATAATAACACGTATCAATTTGGACATAAGTGAGAAGAAAGGTATGCTATCTTATTCTTTGCATTGCACTGAATGGTTGATGTGCTGGTCTGCGTGTATTTCTTTGTTTCGAATATGGCTATATATAAACATTGAAAGTGTTATCTAAGTATTGGTGTTACGGAAACGTTATATATACACATCGTTTCAAATGCTGTCACATTCTGCACAAATCGAAAATGAATATAAACGCACTGAACTCCGGAAGAGAAATAATTTCTAACCTAATTCTTTGTTGGTGTTTGTGCCGGTTTTTCTTCACAGGCGGACGGTAAACTTTCGGCAAAACCGTTACAGTTTAACCGCAGCTGAAGTCATAATTTCAAAAAACGATATTTGCACAGTTTATAAGTGCATTTGTGCATCGATGACAATGGATTGTTATCCGAGTTTCTACATTTCACGCTGTATGTATTCAAATCGTCGCATTACTTCCGTTACCCACAATTCAACCGCACTTTCAATGAAACTACTTTCATCAACAGTACTAGCTCTTTACTTCGTAAAGTAATGAGTATAGGAATAAGTAGATGTCCTCTTTGTTCATAATTAACGTTATAATGCACATCACTAACATTGCCGTCGTCGAATATCAGAAAGAAGTTTTACCTTGTAAGTGCCAGTTTATAATGATGAATATTCAAAGTCATTTTCAGACTTAATTATTATATATCTTGTGCTCTAATAAACTTTGTGAATATGAAGCTAATGTGAAGTACGCGATTAAATCATTGTATATAATGGAAGATCAATAACGCGACTTACAAGGAGTGAAACGTTTTTTTGTGGCGGCAAAAAGCAAGAAGGCGATTGACATCTTGTTGTAATCAGATTTAGTTGTAAAGGAAATAGTATTCATTCAACCAAAATGGCGACGTCCATGGGCGATGCCACGTCCTCGACGTCGTTGGATACAGTTGAAAATTTGACAGATTTAGAAGCTATTCAAAAGGCATTCGATGAATTATGCAATGAAGAGGTAATGTATATACCCAAGATATTGTTGCACTCATTAGTTTTGCTTACACGTTTTCAAGTCACATAAATGCGACTGTCTCTTCACCCGGTCGACAACTTCAGCAGTTTTCATAATCAGAGGCCCATGTCTTTTGACAATTTTAGATTAAAAACAGCCAGTGTCAACCGTGTAATGACAACACTATTACAGTGGCAGATATCATATATTGCAGCAATGCTATCAAAGTTGTCCGTGGGTCTTTCATTTTTTAACAACACCAACACTTCGACAAATATCATTTTGTTTTGATCATGTAGGCCTGATGTCACTGTTGGCAGTAGCGAGAGGAGAGTCCAGACATGTCGTCCCATGGCTTTTAATACAATGCCAACTGATGAACATAATATCATGTTTATCTAAACAACGAAAGAGATAAAAGTTTAATTACTATTGTACGTCCACCTTCGCAAATATATATTGATCTGGACTTGTGATTGTTATGTTGGAAACTGTCAAAAGTTCGAAGGACACTTATTAACACACCAAGCGTTCTTCCTATTACAGAAATATCCTTTTTTTGGAAATTTCTGCCGAAATTAAATTGTATTATATGATATCATGCTTTAAACTTTTTAATTCATAAATTTATAAAGGTGTGAGGTGACAAAACCTCAATGCCATATTTTAGAAGTACTATAGTATCCTCACATCACGTGGTATTTTAAATCTTTGAACACGGGAGAAGGTTGTAAGGTCGTCAAGAAAATCTCAAGGGTTTTTGGCAGTGAATGATGTGTGTTAATGGAATGCCGCTCCTGTGCCGCTATTTAACTACCCTTCTTAAATCAGGATATTCCTTGGATTAAAGCAGACCCAGAAATATAAATAATTTGTCACACATGCCACCCATGCTTTCTATATCGTTGAATCCATGTCTTCATTACTTCTGGTTTTGTCCCAAATATATAACACTCTTTGGAATTGTTCATACTAAAATCCTTTCCTTGGTATGTACTGTACCAGACAATCTGACAACTTACAATGTTTTGTTCATGGGAATACTTGTGTTATAATGAATAAAGTTGCCATGTTTAACACCTCCATCAATAGAGAATGAACTACAGATACTAAACAGACAATGTTTAGGGACACACAAACAGGTCAAACAACTGACAATTATGAAGTGCCAAGTGTCTTTATGACCAAATTCAAGGAGTGTCTCACAGCCATGCTCCTTTGGCGATTGTGACCTTGAGCCAAGTCAAGTGGCCTTGAACTTTGACCAGAGTCGTCAAGATGTCTCTACTCATAATTGTTTCCCCAAACAACCCTGCTAGAATCACTTGCATATATCTTGATAATATTATGCTATTTTACAATAACAAAGTAATTGTCGTTTTAGATGACAGTTGAGGATGAGTTGAAGGGGTTGCTGGATCATCAATCTCGGCTAGAGAGCAAGATGGTTGGTCTTCACAAAGCCCTGTGAGTAACCATGGTAACAACAGAATAGATCAACAACAAGCAGAGTATTTCAAATCAAATCAGTTAAATTGAAAGTAATGATCAGTGCTATCCCAGTGCATCGTTGAATATTGTTGAGTGTTATCATTTGTTTGTGGTTTATCACTGCACTTAACAATATTCCAGCTATTTGTCTGTAGATATATAAGTCTGGACCATCAAATTGTTCTGTAGATAATTGAGTCAGGACCATCCAGTCCTGTGATTGATGTTATAAGCAACATTTGTGTGAAAAATATAAGTTACATCTCTGTTGACAAATTGACACTGACTTTGATGTCACTGATTATCAGATTACACAAGAAAAAGAAACTGGGGAGGACTTGATCATGACAGATATGTTAAAACAATTAATGACTGTTAGAGCATTAGAATGTTTTGAATTAGGGTTTTTTTGGCAATAATATTTAATATACAAACACGTAAATCCTCGTTGAAGTCCTGATTGGAAACATCTGCAGGGTTTTACATTGTTTTGCCAAAATGGCAGTCATGATGAATCACCACATATTTATGGGGGTGTGTGGGACGGTGGGATAGCCTGGTGGTTAATATCACGCACATCACGCCAAAGACCCAGGTTTGATTCCCCACATGGGTACAATGTGTGAAGCCCATTTCTGGTGTCCCTGCTGTGATATTGCTGGAATATTGCTTAAAGCGGCATAAAACCATACTCACCCACTCACCATAGGGATGTGTGTGTGTGTGTGTCAATTCCTAAATTTTGGAGTCATGATTTTCTTTACACTGATCACTGCTGATAGAGTTCAGTCTCATTTAATTCAGAAAGTTTGTAGGTTTGCTTTATTTTAAACAACTAGTGGAGCAGCGGTCTGTATTTGAATAGAAGATAATGTAAATACTCAGCCTGAAGTTAGCATGGTTAGATTTCTTTAGTACATTTATTCAACAGTTACTCGTATTCAAAACTTTTGCAAGTGTTCCAGGAAATTATTGCATCAAATACCCTGTAATTATGGGTCCTGTATTACCCTGTATCTGTGAGTTTCCTGCTGCAGCCCGAACCTGCAGATCCTGCAGACAGACTCCCGGCAGCTGAGCAGCATGATCTCCTTCACCTCCACGCTGGCCGACAACGTCAGCAGTAAAGTCAGGAAACTCGACCTCGCCAAGGTAACGACTGGGCCACTGACGGCAATATTACAAGCAAGACTTCAACAATTTCTATGATGAAACTGTCGTTTGGTTCTTGGTCACCATGTTGTAAAATGAGGATTGGATGGGTGTATTTGAGTGCTGTGACTACTCCTGAGAAATGCAGTGTTGAAATCATATTATGCATTCCAGAATTAACCAGATTATGTTACACACACTGAGTTTTCCAAAGTACAAAAGCAAATATCAGATAATGTTTCAGTTTCCCAGTAGCAAGGTATTAAGCTGTTGGAGATGCCTGAAATGGACTTATATGACAAATGTTTTTAGTTAATTGAATGTTTTGATTTTCCAGAGCCGTGTTTCTGACTGTATAGAGCGGGTGGAGGATATTCTTGATCTCAAATTCTGTACTGATGGGGTACAAACTGCTCTGCAGAATGAAGATTATGAAAAGGTAACAATCCAGTGTTTTGTGTTCACGCAAGTCACCATGGTTACAATTTGATCATCTTAGTATTTTGGCAGCTTAAATTTTGTCGCTCTCCTCATTTGAGATGACAGGAACAATCTGTAAAATATCTTCTTGTAAAATAAATTTTACCCTATTTTTTTATCTTGCATTATAAAATTGAAGTTCAGTGTTTATTTATATTTGATTTGGTTTCTATCTGTGAGGGGGCATAGTTCAAAGGTACTACAATTTGCTGTGCACTGCAGAGTTCTTAGCTGTGCCAAGATCTGCTGATTGTGGGCTTGAATACACTTTGCCCCAGTTGTCTCCCTTGGTCCGTCTGCACCTGTAGGGGTTTCAGCAGTGTCATAAATGATTCAAAATGTACACTCCATCATTTCCAGTTTCCTCCCACATAAAGCCAACACATCATGATATATCCGAAATATACTACTCAAAAGAAATTAAGGACCACTCAATTCTTTTATGTTACTATAGTTAATCTGTCATTGGTGGTCCTTAACTTCTTATCAGTAGTATAGTTTTCAAAGCCGTGGTAGTTCCAATACTCTCCCTATGTATAAACTGATGGTGGGATGGCCTATAAGTTATTGCAGAACTTATCATGCAGATTGCCCAAGCTCAATTTTCATTTGGGGTACAATGTGTGAAGCCCGTTTCCACTGTTTCTTGCCATGCTATCTCACTCACTCACTTGTGTTTTAGGCTGCCGGCCATATCCATCGATACCGAAATCTGGACGAGTCAGTTCTTAGAATGAGTGCTGATAATGATGAAGGTGGGTCATCACTGTTGATCACATACCTTCTGTAAAACCATGTATCTTTGCTCAGGAGATCCAGCCTCAACTGGCCTCATTTATTCAACACCTTAGTGGCGGTGGGGTAGCCTAGTGGTTAAAGCGTTCGCTCCTCATGCCGAAGGCCCGGGTTTGATTCCCTATATGGGTACAATGTGTGAAGCCCACTTCTGGTGTCCCTTGCTGTGATATTGCTGGAATATTGCAAAAACTGGCTTAAAACCCAACTCACTCACTCATTTACTCTCGTCACCTTACCGTTTTACTCAAACATACTTTTTTATTGCTTGTAAGCACTTGTAATGATAAAAGACAAGGTATAAAAATTACTCATTTTGGCCAACAGAAAACAGTACTGAATAATGATTAATATGTTCTTTTTATCCCCCTGAAAAACAGGATATAATTAGCATGTCTGTCCTCCATCCATTTTTTGTTTCCGGAACAGAATTCTTAAACCATTAAATATTTCTTTATGAAACTTGCTATACAGATTAGTCTAGTGGTCATCTGGTGCCTTTTGATGATTTGGAATATTGATAATAACTGAACAGCATTATTTTTTTCTTCTCTGAACTGAAGCTATCCAATTGTAATGAACTAAAAATCGCCAAAATCCATTTGCAAATTGTACCAGATCCTATTTCTAATCCCACTTTGCTCCGCGTTTATCTAAATTGCTGCAAGTCACTGCATCCCTTAGGTACACAAGAAACCTATGATTGGGGGTTCGAATCCCTGGTCATGCCTGATTATCTTTCGAGGTTAGCCAGTACCATATCCATGCTCGTGGGTTTCACCGAACTGATAAACCCCTGAAACCTGCATCACCTGGGGCTTTCCCCCCACATCAAGCTGACACGCCATGATATACCTGGAATATTGTTAAAAGCGTCATGAAACCCAACTCACTCACTCACTTAACCACATCAGCGGGGTAGAATAGGTCTTCAGCAACCCATGTTTGTCCTAATAGGCGATTATTCTTGTCGTATGCATGACTAACGTGATTGTTGTAAGAGGCAACTAATGAGATCAGGTGGTCTGGCTCGCTGACTTGGTTGATGCATGTCCTCGTTACCCCAATTGCGTGGATTGATGCTTATAATGTCAATCACTGGATTTAACAAACTCGATTATTTACAGACCGCTGTCATATAGCTTGAATATTGCTGAGTGCCGCGTTAAACAACAAACAAACAAAACTCACTCACTCAATCACTCAATCACTCACTCAAAACGCAGTGATCATCGACAATAACTAGGTGACATCTGTGACAGGTGGGACACTGGACATCTCCTTCAAGCTGCTGCATGAGGCAGAGGACAAACTCAAGGCCATCGTCACCTCCAAGTTTGATGCTGCTGTCCACTCCGAGGATGTGGCATCTGTAGAGCGATTCTTCAAGATATTCCCGTTGCTGGGGCAACATGAAGAAGGACTCACTAAATTTGGAAAATATTTGGCTAAAAAGGTACAAAGAACTGATTAAGTGTTCATTCAATCTCACTAACATCAGATCTTTTAATCCCATGAGATACATCTCTGTCAAGATGTAAATTAAAGGAGATTGTTCAACAATTTATGCATGTGAAGACGCTCATGTCAGGGTTCCTAAAACATGAAGCAGTTTTTAATATATGCAGTCAATATTAGCAGGACATTTTTGCTGTTAATTGGCACAGCGACTCATTGGTCTGAAATGTTATTCACTGACTTTCTTTGTCTTGTGTTTAAGCCTCTCTGTCAGAATGTGAATGACAATTATCTCATAATCGTGACACTCATGCTAATTACTGATATTTCCCAAGACCTGAAGTAGGAAATATAGGTTTATTGCCACTTGCATAAAGAACGTGAGTGTGAAATGACATCACCATGTATTTCCCAGCTGTCTGAGAATGCTGACAATCAGATGAAGCTTGCTCTGCACATGGACAGTGATGACAAGCGGGCCAAGGTGCTGTTTGCAGACACCATCACTCTGCTGTTTGAGAGTATCGCTCGAGTCGTGGAGATACATCAGCCATTAGTAGAAACATATTATGGTAGGTATGATACACATACAGGGGTGCTGAAGGAGACAGATGTTTGGTATTTAGAGACTTGTTACATTCTGTCATTTACTTGCAATCAACTGTTTCTTTACAGTCTTATAGGTCAAACATTGTCTGGCACAATAGACATCATCACCTGGCAGTATTGGCTATATCACATGGTATTATAGACTAGGACACCCGGTGGTATTGACACATCACCTGGCAGTATTGGCTATATCACATGGTATTATAGACTGGGACACCTGGTGTTATTGACACATCACCTGGCAGTATTGGCAATATCACATGGTATTATAGACTAGGACACCTGGTGTTATTGACATCATCACCTGTCAGTATTGGCTATATCACATGGTATTATAGACTAGGACACCTGGTGTTATTGACATCACCACCTCACAGTATAGACTATAACACATGGAATTATAAACTTGTGTTATTACTTCATCTGGCAGAATTGGCTATATTACATGATATTATAGACTATGACACCTGTGTTATTGACATCATGGTATTATATAACTTGGACACCTGGTGTTATTGACATCACCACCAGGCAGTATGTGCTATAACACATGGTATTATAAACATGGACACCTGGTGTTATTGACTTCACCATCTGGCAGAATTGGCTACATCCCATATTATAGACTATGACACCTGGTGTTATTGACATAATGGCCAGGCAGTAATCGCTATAGCACATGATATTATAGACTATGACACCTGGTGTTACTGACTTCACCACCTGGCTGTATAGCCTTTAGCACATGCCGTTGTAGACTGACACCTGAGCCCACTTGCACAAAGCGATCTTAGCGCTAAGATGATCATATCTCCCATTGTCCCCCGCCGTGATATTGCTGGAATATTGCTAAAAGCGGCGTAAAACCAAACTCACTCACTCACTCACCCATACTTTAACATAGGCTTACAATAGTCGTAGCGCTAAGATGATCGTATCTCCCATACTTTAACAATAGTCGTAGTGCTAAGATCGCTTTGTGCAAGTGGGCCCTGGTGTTACAAACATCATCTACTGGCAGTACATACCACATCACATGACATTAGACATCACCACTGGACATGATAGACATCACTACAGGACATTCTAGACTCCATCACAACACAACAGTGTTCCCTTACACATCAGTTGATAATGCTCATAACATACCAGTCTTCCTCATTTTATCAAGCACTGCTTAGACATGTGTGAGTTATCTTGGCATGGCTTTCAGGCCCGGGGAAGCTCCTGATCCTGCTGAAGATGCTGCAGAAGGAGTGTGATCGGCAGTCAAGGAAAATTGTAGAACAGTTTAAGTCAATAAGAGACTATGAACACAAGGTAAGACCATCAAATCTATATCGGGCAATGCAACACTATTATATGAGTGAGTGAGTTGGGTTTAACACTGCTGGGATCAGTATATTCTCAGCGTGAGAGCTTAACGTGGGAGGAAAGCCCAAAGTGATGAAGATGTTCTCATTCCTTTACCAAAAAGGGATTCTATGAAAGATGGGTAGGTAGGTGTCTCGTCCAGACCATTAAATGATTTCAGGCGGAAAGTCAGACATGCTGACTTGTTATTTTTGGGCCTATGCTTACAGACCATGGACATGTTTTTTTGGATATAGATAACAGTGAAAAATTGTTACATATGGGGGCGGCGATAAAACAATCGGTCCCATGGTGACGACAGGGCATTTACCCTGAAATATGTATGTTCCCCTGTGTGAGAATGTTTGTTCCCCTTGAACGGCCATGATATATTATGAACTGGGCTTCCTGGTGATAGATGTTAAATTGAACATCTCAATATTTATATTCAAAAGAACATGTAACAAGTGTGTGGAAGAGTGAAGTGTTGCTTGATATTCACGTAGATTTGTCAACTTCAGGTCCGGCAGGTTCAGCAGAGTTTGATGATCCAGAAACAAACCTCCACAGAGAAGTGAGTAGAGCTGACGACTTGTATGTCTGACACGTGAAGATTCCGGGGTAGAATAGGTCTTCAGCAACCCATGCTTGCCGTAAAAGGTGACTATGCTTGTCGTAAAAGGCAACTAACAGGATCGGGTGGTCAGACTCGCTGACTTGGTTGATGCATGTCACCGATCCCAATTGCGTGGATCGATGCTCATGATATTAATCACTGGATTGTCTGGTCCAGACTCGATTATTTACAGGCCGCCGTCATATAGCTGGAATATTGCTGAGTGCGGCGTTAAACAACAAACCAAACCATGACCAAAACTTGTATGTCTACACATAACAGCTGGATATATATCATACTCAAAAGAAGTTAAAGAACACCCAATTTGTTCATATGACAATTAATCTGTCATGGCTGGTAGTTATTGCAACAAAGTCTTCCAATTGTGTGTGTTCTTTAATTTCGTTTAAGTAGTATATCTACACTCAAGAGACTGGATATAGACAGTGTTGTTCCGTGACTGTGCATGATGCAATTAAAATACAACAACGCGTCCGGCTTGGCACACTAAGCTTTTCACCTTCACTTACCTCAATGTAATTTTAATCCAAAAGGTCGTGTATTATCAGTAAACATTGCAGTCAAACATCAGCATGTTTTTTAAGCCAAACGTGTCCGCCATGTTTGAGATTACTACAGTGATATTTTTTACCAATCATTGGCAGGCTTATAATTAACGACAGTAGGACTTCACTGAATATTATTTTCCCCTGAACAATCAGATTTATTGTTTTTAAATAGATACTGTCAAAGCCGGCAGTGACAAGCATGGCATCTGCTATACCGTCCTCTGTTCACCGTCCTCTGTACACAGTCCTGTGTTCATCCTGAGTTCATGTCCTCTGTTCACCGTCCTCTGTTCACCGTCCTCTGTTCGCCTTCCTGTGTTCACCATCCTCTGTTCGCGTCTTCTGTTCACTGTCCTGTGTTCATCCTGTTCCCCGTCCTATGTTCACCATCCAGTGTTCACATCCTCTGTTTACCGTCCTGTGTTCACCATCCTCTGGGGGGCATGGGTGGCCCAGTCGTCTAAGGCGCCGCGATTCGCTGTGCAGAGTTGCGTCCCTTGGGCACGCCAGAAACCTATGATTTTGGGTTCGAATCCCGGTTCGCCCCAATTATGTTTCTAGGTTTGTCAGCACCATACCCGTGCTCGTGGGTTTCACCGAAGTGGTAAACGTCTTAGACCTGCATCACTTCGGGCTTTCCTCCAACATTAAGCTGACACGCCGTGATATAACTGGAATAATGTTAAAAGTGGCATTAAACCCAACTCACTCACTCACTCACCATCCTCTGTTCACCATCCTGTTCACCTTTCTCTGTCCACCATCCTCTGTTCACCATCCTGTTCACCTTCCTCTGTTGACTGTCTTATGTTCACATCCTGTGTTCACATCCTGTGTTTATGTTACAGACTTGAACCTAAGGACCTGGATGTGTTGCTGTCTGAGGTTGTGCTCATCAGTACACGAGCCGAGATGTATCTCCGCTTCATCAAGAGGAGAGCCCTGGTAACATGTTTCCTTTGTGAATCTGTAGGATAAATACTTTAGAAATGTTTTGAAATAAGCATTAATATTCAGAGTTGTTTTGACTCAGTCTTTGTTTAGGTAATATATGAGAGTACATGGATTTTTCTGTTGTGGGTGCATATGGCCCAATAGTCTATGGTGCAGGTTGTTTGCAGAATTGTGTCCCTTATGCCTGCCAGGATCCGCAGGTCATGTGTTTGAATCCCAGTGAGTTTACTGACTTTACTGTTTTTGTAATGACTTGACCCCTCACTTGCGTGCGACTTGTTTACAGACTGATTTAGAAGTGGCATTTCCAGATGAAGATGACAGAACAAGTAAGTTGCACTTGAAGAGGCTTCAGCAGAATTTTGCTTTGTATCTAAAACAATTCCCCCATGAAAATCTGGGTTAGAATTAGTCTTCACCAACCGACGCTTGTCATAAGAGGCAACTAACGGGATCGGGTGGTCAGGCTCGCTGACTTGTTTCATATTGCATGTCATTGAATCCCAATTGTGTAGATCATGCTCATGATATCAATCACTGGATTGTCTGATCCCAATTGGATTATTTACAGACGACTTTCATATAGCTTGAATATTGCTGAGTGTGACGTTAAACAAGCTGAAACAATTGACAATTTATAATATGAAAGTTCATTCATCAAGATTCAAATGACCATAACCTGTGTTAATGTCTAGATATTGTAGCTAGAGATCTGTGTGACTATTTCTGTGTAGTTAGATTAGTCATTTGTTGCTAGATCTTGATCCTTTAACTTAAATACAGCTGGTGTTGGGATAACCTGATTGTAACTGGCTAGACCTACTTTCTCTTGAAAGATGACACTCAGGTTTAGAATTGATACAGAGATATTTGGCTTACATAATTTCACTTTAATCAGAAAGTAATCCGCCTATAACTTTCATTGTTTCCTGCTTTTCATTCATGCATCATCCATCAGTTGAGATCCTCCTTGAAATAAGACTTTGTCATTCATTACTGAAGATTACAATATTTGTATTATTTTCATTTTGTCTAACTGTTGGCAGTTATGCAGCCTAAGTAAGGTCGAGTGAGAAATGGACATGGAATTTGGGGGGACTAAAGTATACTTGGGGAAAAAGTCATCTTCCAGATGAAAAGTGTCTTGCCCACCTATAATAGTCCCTAATCATGCTAAATATAGTTGAAGATTTGTTTGTTGTTCAACACACTCAACAATGTATCAGCTATGTGAAGGCGGGTTGTAAATAACTGAGCCCAGTCCAGACAACTAGTGATTGATATCATGAGCAATGTCCTATGTAATTGGGGTTTAATGACAAATTAACCAAGTCGTTGAGTCTGACCACTGATCCATCAATTCACCTCATTTAACAAGAATAGGCTGTTTGGGACCTATTCTTTCCCAAAACCCCAACATAGGATTATCTACAAAGACTTGACACTGTGTTTACATTTTCTTGATTTGTTCAGGAGAGTGTGTTGACCTGGACAAGTATCTGAGTGGCTGTGACCTGAGTCGTCTGATGCAGGAGCTGATCGGCAGCTACATCATGATGGAGGAATACTTCATGAGAGAGATGGTGCTCAAGGTAGGGGAGATAACTCTGATGACACTTTATATGGTCCTTGTCACCTATAAACCTAATCCACCACCACTCTCTGAAGGGATGGGTGTTAATGGGGAGATAAATGCTGGTGGTGAATGTGTGAAAGGGAAATAACTCTGCTGTCACTTCACACTGGGTGTGGTGTTAAATGTCGACAGAAGGGGAGGTAACTCTGTTTAGACTTCCTGAAAATAGGCTAAAGGTAAAACTGTTGTGTAAGCGGAAGTGGGAGAGACTGTTTGAGAGACAGGAAGTTCCAATGTTCTGTGGAGAAAGTGTAAAGTGAGGACTGCTGTGTTGTAGGCCGTCAACATGGACACCTTGGAGGATGGAGCACAGACCTCCAGTATGGTGGATGATGCTTTCTTCATTGTCAAGAAAAGTGTAAGGTGTGTATACCACAGATCATGAGCTGATTTGAAGGTCATTTGTGATTAAGGTAGCAGATATTACTGCAGAAATATTACCCAAAGATGATAAGCCCTCTTCTGCTGGTCCCCGTTAAAGAGAAAATTGGTGCTTCAATTCACCACAGCTTCAATTCACTTCAGAATACATCTGTGTTCAGATATATCAAATTATTTTATCAGTTCCTTTTTCTACACAACAGACGTACCATCTCCAGCTCCAGCGTGGATGGCGTGTGTGCGATGTTGAACCACGCGTGTACGCTGCTAGAGCAGGACTTCCGAGAGGTGTTGTACGCACGGCTCCGCTCTGGCTTCCCGTCGGGCTTCGACCTACAGCAGGCCTACAACCTGGTACAGTCCAGCTTCCAGCAGGGCAAGCTGCAGAGCTCCGACTCCGAGAAGGAGAAGGCAAAGACTCTCTTTCTGGTCAGTTGCTTAGTTAAAGAATTCCACCCTTGACGATCTGGGTTAGAATTCAACCCATGTTTGTCGTAAGAGGCCACGAACGGGATCGGGTGGTCAGACTCACTGACTTTGTTCGTACATTGTATCCCAATTTTGAGGATCGATGCTAATGAACGTCAATCATTGGATTGTCTGGTCCAGACTCCAGACCAATGTCATGTAGCTGGAATATTGTTGAGTGCGGCGTAAATTAACAAAACAAACACAGTAGCTTAGTTAAAGAATTACTGGTGCGTCCTTCAGTGACCATATTTCTGTGCCGTGGGAGGTTATAATGGCTATTTGCAGTGTAGGTTGGTTGGTTTGTTGTTTAACGCCGGACTCAGCAATATCCCAGCTATATGATGGCAGTCTGTAAATAATCGATTCTGGACCAGACAGTCCAGTGATTAATATCATGAGCATCTATCCGTGCAATTGGGATCGATGACATGCATCAACCAAGTCAGCGAGCCTGACCACCCGATCCCGTTAGTCACCTCTTACGACAAGTATAGTCACCTTTTACGTCAAGCATGGGTTGCTGAAGACCAATTCTACCCCGGATCTTCACGGGCCCTATTTGCAGTGAATGATGGTGCACAATTAGTGTCCAAATGTTGTGACAGAGTCTCCGATAATGGGTTTGAAACCCTGATTCGCCACTATTCAAGGTTTGTCACTTCCAAATCTGTACTTTTGGGTTTCACAAAAGTGGTACCATTGCCCTGACATGTCAAGAGTTAACTGAAATACTGTTCAAAGCGGCATTAAGCCTAGCTTACTGGCTCACATATACCATCACATGTTACTGTAAGAAAAGAAAACATCCTGTATCTGAAACAGATCATTATCCCAAAATAAGATATAAAATTATAGACGTACACAAATGTATTTATATTTCCATGACCATAAGATAAAATATACATGTAGCTCTTTTGTTCCAGACTGCCTTAAACAATGCTGAAGTCAGTTCAGAATACTCAAAAGCTTTGAAAACAATCCTCGAGGTAAGATCATGCTATAGCATAAATAAGATATAAAAGGGTATTTGACAGTCAGTTAAAATAATTGTGTTTATTCGATCATAGAATTATATTGAAGAGGAAACCCCTCTGACACATACTGTTAATTTGGAATATTTCTCTTAATAATATAGTTATGTGACATAAGGTTATTTTGATGTTATCCTAATGCTATTCACCTTGTGTTTTATATCAGGATGAGGTATCAAAACTCTACAGCCAGTGTACGGAGCAAGCCAGAGCCAAGCTAGAGGTTTGTGAGGTTTTCGTCTGATGAGACTGGTAGGATATGGGGGTGGGGGTGGGGGTGGGGGTGGGGTTGGGTGGGTCAGATGTGTTAGTCTGACCAGTGAGAGTGTGAGGATAGGGGTTGGGTGGGTCAGATGTGTTAGTCTGACCAGTGAGAGTGTGAGGATAGGGGTGGCGTGTCAGATGTGTTAGTCTGACCAGTGAGACTGTGAGGATGGGGGGGTGGGGTGTCAGATGTGTTAGTGTGACCAGTGAGAGTGTGAGGATAGGGGTTGGGTGGGTCAGATGTGTTAGTGTGACCAGTGAGAGTGTGAGGATAGGGGTTGGGTGTCAGATGTGTTAGTCTGACCAGTGAGACTGTGAGGATAGGGGTTGGGTGTCAGATGTGTTAGTCTGACCAGTGAGACTGTGAGGATGGGGGGGTGGGGTGTCAGATGTGTTAGTGTGACCAGTGAGAGTGTGAGGATAGGGGTTGGGTGGGTCAGATGTGTTAGTGTGACCAGTGAGAGTGTGAGGATAGGGGTTGGGTGTCAGATGTGTTAGTCTGACCAGTGAGAGTGTGAGGATAGGGGTGGGGTGTCAGATGTGTTAGTCTGACCAGTGAGACTGTGAGGATAGGGGTTGGGTGGGTCAGATGTGTTAGTGTGACCAGTGAGAGTGTGAGGATAAGGGTGGGGTGTCAGATATGTTAGTCTGACCAGTGAGACTGTGAGGATAGGGGTGGGGTGTCAGATGTGTTAGTCTGACCAGTGAGAGTGTGAGGATAGGGGTGCGGTGTCAGATGTGTTAGTGTGACCAGTGAGAGTGTGAGGATAGGGGTGGGGTGTCAGATGTGTTAGTCTGACCAGTGAGAGTGTGAGGATAGGGGTGGGGTGTCAGATGTGTTAGTCTGACCAGTGAGAGTGTGAGGATAGGGGTGGCGTGTCAGATGTGTTAGTGTGACCAGTGAGACTGTGAGGATGGGGGGGTGGGGTGTCAGATGTGTTAGTGTGACCAGTGAGAGTGTGAGGATAGGGGTTGGGTGGGTCAGATGTGTTAGTGTGACCAGTGAGAGTGTGAGGATAAGGGTGGGGTGTCAGATATGTTAGTCTGACCAGTGAGAGTGTGAGGATAGGGGGGTTGGGTGGGTCAGATGTGTTAGTGTGACCAGTGAGAGTGTGAGGATAGGGGTGGCGTGTCAGATGTGTTAGTCTGACCAGTGAGACTGTGAGGATGGGGGGGTGGGGTGTCAGATGTGTTAGTGTGACCAGTGAGAGTGTGAGGATAGGGGTTGGGTGGGTCAGATGTGTTAGTGTGACCAGTGAGAGTGTGAGGATAAGGGTGGGGTGTCAGATATGTTAGTCTGACCAGTGAGACTGTGAGGATAGGGGTGGGGTGTCAGATGTGTTAGTCTGACCAGTGAGAGTGTGAGGATAGGGGTGCGGTGTCAGATGTGTTAGTGTGACCAGTGAGAGTGTGAGGATAGGGGTGGGGTGTCAGATGTGTTAGTCTGACCAGTGAGAGTGTGAGGATAGGGGTGGGGTGTCAGATGTGTTAGTCTGACCAGTGAGACTGTCAGGATAGGGGTGGGGGGTCAGATGTGTTAGTCTGACCAGTGAGACTGTCAGGATAGGGGTGGGGGGTCAGATGTGTTAGTCTGACCAGTGAGACTGTCAGGATAGGGGTGTGGGGTCAGATGTGTTGGTGTGACCAGTGAGACTGTCAGGATAGGGGTGTGGGGTCAGATGTGTTAGTCTGACCAGTGAGAGTGTGAGGATAGGGGTGGGGGTCAGATGTGTTAGTGTGACCAGTGAGAGTGTGAGGATAGGGGTGGGGGGTCAGATGTGTTAGTCTGACCAGTGAGACTGTCAGGATAGGGGTGGGGGTCAGATGTGTTAGTCTGACCAGTGAGACTGTGAGGATAGGGGTGGGGGTCAGATGTGTTAGTGTGACCAGTGAGACTGTGAGGATAGGGGTGGGTGTCAGATGTGTTAGTGTGACCAGTGAGACTGTGAGGATAGGGGTGGGGGTCAGATGTGTTAGTGTGACCAGTGAGACTGTCAGGATAGGGGTGGGGGTCAGATGTGTTAGTCTGACCAGTGAGACTGTCAGGATAGGGGTGGGGGGTCTGATGTGTTAGTCTGACCAGTGAGAGTGTGAGGATAGGGGGGTGGGGTGTCAGATGTGTTAGTCTGACCAGTGAGACTGTGAGGATAGGGGTGGGGGTCAGATGTGTTAGTCTGACCAGTGAGAGTGTGAGGATAGGGGTGGGGGTCAGATGTGTTAGTGTGACCAGTGAGACTGTGAGGATGGGTGGGTGTCAGATGTGTTAGTGTGACCAGTGAGAGTGTGAGGATAGGGGAGGGGGGTCAGATGTGTTAGTGTGACCAGTGAGACTGTCAGGATAGGGGTGGGGGTCAGATGTGTTAGTCTGACCAGTGAGAGTGTGAGGATAGGGGGGTGGGGTGTCAGATGTGTTAGTCTGACCAGTGAGACTGTGAGGATAGGGGTGGGGGTCAGATGTGTTAGTCTGACCAGTGAGACTGTGAGGATAGGGGGGTGGGGGTCAGATGTGTTAGTGTGACCAGTGAGACTGTGAGGATAGGGGGGTGGGGGTCAGATGTGTTAGTGTGACCAGTGAGACTGTGAGGATAGGGGGGTGGGGGTCAGATGTGTTAGTCTGACCAGTGAGAGTGTGAGGATAGGGGTTGGGTGTCAGATGTGTTAGTCTGACCAGTGAGAGTGTGAGGATAGGGGTGGGTGTCAGATGTGTTAGTCTGACCAGTGAGACTGTGAGGATAGGGGTGGGGGTCAGATGTGTTAGTCTGACCAGTGAGACTGTGAGGATAGGGGTGGGGGGTCAGATGTGTTAGTCTGACCAGTGAGAGTGTGAGGATAGGGGTGGGGGTCAGATGTGTTAGTCTGACCAGTGAGACTGTCAGGATAGGGGTGGGGGTAAGATGTGTTAGTCTGACCAGTGAGACTGTCAGGATAGGGGTTGGGTGTCAGATGTGTTAGTCTGACCAGTGAGACTGTCAGGATAGGGGTGGGGGTAAGATGTGTTAGTCTGACCAGTGAGAGTGTGAGGATAGGGGTTGGGTGTCAGATGTGTTAGTCTGACCAGTGAGAGTGTGAGGATAGGGGTGGGGGTCAGATGTGTTAGTGTGACCAGTGAGAGTGTGAGGATAGGGGTGGGGGTCAGATGTGTTAGTCTGACCAGTGAGAGTGTGAGGATAGGGGTGGGGGTCAGATGTGTTAGTCTGACCAGTGAGAGTGTGAGGATAGGGGGGTGGGGGTCAGATGTGTTAGTCTGACCAGTGAGAGTGTGAGGATAGGGGGGTGGGGTGTCAGATGTGTTAGTCTGACCAGTGAGAGTGTGAGGATAGGGGTGGGGGTCAGATGTGTTAGTCTGACCAGTGAGAGTGTGAGGATAGGGGGGTGGGGGTCAGATGTGTTAGTCTGACCAGTGAGAGTGTGAGGATAGGGGTGGGGTGTCAGATGTGTTAGTCTGACCAGTGAGAGTGTGAGGATAGGGGGGTGGGGTGTCAGATGTGTTAGTCTGACCAGTGAGAGTGTGAGGATAGGGGTGGGGGTCAGATGTGTTAGTCTGACCAGTGAGAGTGTGAGGATAGGGGGGTGGGGGTCAGATGTGTTAGTCTGACCAGTGAGAGTGTGAGGATAGGGGGGTGGGGTGTCAGATGTGTTAGTCTGACCAGTGAGAGTGTGAGGATAGGGGTGGGGGTCAGATGTGTTAGTCTGACCAGTGAGAGTGTGAGGATAGGGGGGTGGGGGTCAGATGTGTTAGTCTGACCAGTGAGAGTGTGAGGATAGGGGGGTGGGGTGTCAGATGTGTTAGTCTGACCAGTGAGAGTGTGAGGATAGGGGTGGGGGTCAGATGTGTTAGTCTGACCAGTGAGACTGTGAGGATAGGGGTGGGGGTCAGATGTGTTAGTCTGACCAGTGAGAGTGTGAGGATAGGGGGGTGGGGGTCAGATGTGTTAGTCTGACCAGTGAGAGTGTGAGGATAGGGGGGTGGGGTGTCAGATGTGTTAGTCTGACCAGTGAGAGTGTGAGGATAGGGGTGGGGGTCAGATGTGTTAGTCTGACCAGTGAGAGTGTGAGGATAGGGGGGTGGGGGTCAGATGTGTTAGTCTGACCAGTGAGAGTGTGAGGATAGGGGTTGGGTTTCAGATGTGTTAGTCTGACCAGTGAGAGTGTGAGGATAGGGGGGTGGGGTGTCAGATGTGTTAGTCTGACCAGTGAGAGTGTGAGGATAGGGGTGGGGGGTCAGATGTGTTAGTCTGACCAGTGAGAGTGTGAGGATAGGGGTGGGGGTCAGATGTGTTAGTCTGACCAGTGAGAGTGTGAGGATAGGGGGGGGGGGTGTCAGATGTGTTAGTCTGACCAGTGAGAGTGTGAGGATAGGGGTGGGGGTCAGATGTGTTAGTCTGACCAGTGAGAGTGTGAGGATAGGGGGGTGGGGTGTCAGATGTGTTAGTCTGACCAGTGAGACTGTCAGGATAGGGGTGGGGGTCTGATGTGTTAGTCTGACCAGTGAGACTGTGAGGATAGGGGTGGGGGGTCTGATGTGTTAGTCTGACCAGTGAGAGTGTGAGGATAGGGGTGGGGTGTCAGATGTGTTAGTCTGACCAGTGAGACTGTCAGGATAGGGGTGGGGGGTCAGATGTGTTAGTCTGACCAGTGAGACTGTCAGGATAGGGGTGGGGGGTCTGATGTGTTAGTCTGACCAGTGAGACTGTCAGGATAGGGGTGGGGGGTCTGATGTGTTAGTCTGACCAGTGAGACTGTCAGGATAGGGGTGGGGGGTCAGATGTGTTAGTCTGACCAGTGAGACTGTCAGGATAGGGGTGGGGGGTCAGATGTGTTGGTGTGACAGTGAGACTGTGGGGATGGGGTTCTATATCATAACTTGGGTTTTAGCTTTGACTTCAATGAATATTTGAAGGGAGACACTTCTCAGACAATTTGGTTCTGTTTGATTCATGATGACTGAACACCATTTTCTTTGCCTGCCAATTAGGTTTTATTATGTTTGTAACAGTTAATGATTCCCTGAGAATATGTCGTGATCTCACACATCTAGATCTCATATATTCCTCAAGTTGAGCACATACGCCTTTCTGATTTCCATTGAAGAAATATCTTCTTTTTTTCGCAGAGCTGTTTGTCAGACCTTGGAACGGTACCCGCCAAGTTCAAGGACGTGATCGAGTTTGGCTTCTCCCAGCTGACATCGAGTGTTGTGAAGCCTCGCGTCAAACCGCTGGTGGAGTCCTTCCTCTCTACAGACCACAATTTGACTGAGGTGGGACACAGATTTTATTGAACTTCATGTAGTGTGAAAGTCAAGTTTGGCTAACTCGTGCTTGTGTTATGACAGATTCAGAGTCACAGACTTCTTGTTTTCTCCAAGTTTGATTGGTAAACTTGAGACAAAAAACTCTGATATTGTGGATGTTGGATGTTGAAAACAGTGTTATCAATTTTAGTGAAAACAAATAGAGACAGATTTTTTAAAGTTAATACTTGATGGTAAAATGTCATGTGCATTTGTAAAGGAACGATTGTAAAACAGTATCTACTGTGTGGCAACCTGGACTTTTCAAAGGGCGCAATAACCCTGATATCTTTGTTGTTTTGGTGGAGCCAAACTAGTTTTCATGAGTTTATTTCAGCGTCTCTCAAATATGAGAAAGGTTTTCTGGTTGGATAGGAAATAGGAGTATGTTTGCCCTGGCGGGCTGTTGTAGTCCTGTGGTGACAATCCATGTACTTTCCATTGCCAGGAGGACTTCTCCAACTATGAGGCAAACGATCCGTGGGTCCAAAACTTCATTATGAACCTGGATGCTCTGTTCAGCACTTTCAAGGTAGGTGGTGAATATTTTATGTGATTATATTTGTCAAATTATGTTTCAACTCAGGGACCTGCTTCACAAAATGAACATAGTGCTACGACTATTGTTAGCATAGACTTACGACAGTCGTTACATTATGATCATGGGTGAAACGAGCCATGTTACGCAAAGCCATCTTAGCACCCCAATAATGTCATAACCCTCACTTTAACATAGACTTATAGTCGTTGTGGGGCTGTGATTGCTTTGCTGAACAAGGCCGTGGGTTAGAGTCGGTCTCCAGCACTAAAGTGCTGGCTGTAACAGGGGCCTAAGTAGATTGAGGGGTCAGGCTGATTGCGTGTCAGTTTACCCCAATGACTTTGGATGTTCTTCTAGTCACTGGTTTGCCTTGACTCGATTATCTATCAGCCGCTATGATACAGCCAAGGGGGGGGGGGGGGCAGGCTCAGTGGTCTTGTAATGCAAGTGTCATCTGTTTCACCACAGAAGTAACCATCTGTGACCTGCGTCATTTCGGGCTTTCCTCCAAACCTCCAACCCTCCAACCCTCCAACCCTCCAACATTAAGCTGACATAGTGTTAAATAACTGAAGTAACTGTACACACCTGTATCACAAGAAAACTTAACATATGTCAGGTCATTTGGCCAAGGCTCAGAGAGAAGGTCATCAAGAAATATTTTGGAAAAATCATGGAAAAATGGAAAGTTTAATGACTTTAATTATTCCCAGTGAAGTACAAAAGAAACAATTGTGCCCCCTTGGTGAAGATAAAAAAAAAGACACCCTCTTCGGAGTTCCCCCCAAATTACATGTATTTTATATTTGCCTTTTCAGAATGTATTATCATTTTTTGTACACTCGTTCATGAAATGTTTCCTAACCATGATTAGATATATACAGTTCACAGTTACGAAATTTTGTTTGAGCGCGACAGTACTGATGTGTTGCGTGTGTGTTGTTTGTAGGCCACTCTCACATCGGGAAACTACGACCGCCTTGTGAACCTCATCGTGGGTGAGATCACCGTTCAGCAGGAGAAGGCCATCACCAAGTCAACATTCAACAGGGTCGGTGAATCATGGCTTCATTTCAGTACACTTAGACTTGACAAGAATTTGTCATCTGTAATGACTTGGAATAGTTAGTGTAACCGGTCTGAGATTCGAACCCTGGCTGCGTTATAGTGAAAGATGGTACCGGGATATCACATGTTTGGGCCCACGCAGAATTAGAAACATAAAAAATGTCTTTAATTTTGGAGTGATTTTGCTTAAATCAACCCCTTTCCCCCTTTCGAAAACCAATACTTGGCGATGCACGACACATGGCAAATCTTAATGTACATTCAACAATAATGAAAGGTCAAGTTTGGCATTCTATGAAGTTACTTCCTCCCCAAATGTATATCCATGTATTATGTTTTCTCAGTTAAAACAACTTTTTTTTCTGCAAAGGTTGTCCATTATATTTAGGTAAGAAAGCTTAAGCTTTCGAAATTGAGCCTTGGGCTTCATTTCAGATAAAATATCTTAAATGAGAAAGCACCCGGGGAAGTCCTGGTACCTCTTGTTACCCTGCCTTGCACTCAGCATTAAGGGGCTAAAACAAGGACTGGTCGGCTCGGAGTCAGTATATTTTGTCTGAGTGGGGTATTCATGTCAAACTGCAGCACGGTATCTCAGTGAAGCAGCACTATAAAATTTGCCTTAGTCCAGGCTAGTACAAGCAGCCACACACACACGTGCATGCACGTCGCTATATAAGTGCAACAATCTTGAACGTGACGTTAAACCTCAGTTCACCTCAGTTCACCTCACCTCACCTCACCTCACCTCACCTCACCTGTTAGTAACCTGCTCTGTTCCAGCTGGGAGGCCTCCAGTTTGACAAGGAGCTGCGTTCATTGGTGGGCTACCTCTCCTCCGTCACCACCTGGACCATCAGAGACAAGTTCGCCCGCATCACACAGATGGCCACCATCCTCAACCTGGAGCGGGTAGGTCACAGACACAGGACAAGGGAGTTAACTGATTGTAAAAGTCCACTTTCCACCCTTGCCGAACTAGACTGGAATTTCTGAGCTCGATCATAGTGCCACCAGTGGCTATTACAAGTTATGTCCCTTCTATGTCCCTTTCCTCCCACATTAAACTGACATATAATATAATATAACTGGAATACTGTTAAAAGCGGCGTCAAACCCAACTCACCCACCCACCCTTCTATGTCCCTCCTATTGACCATTCAGATTTCACCTTTCATATCACTTATATTTGCTTCAAACAAAATGGTGGCACCCAGTCAAGATGATCTGATCGATAATCAAGTTATATATTGTAATAAAACCAGTCTTACTTTGCAAGGTGCATAAAATCATGTGAGCACCTTGATGAAAGCTGGAGCTTCAGTTATGGGGAATATTGCAACAGAGTCACTACTAGGTCAAATATGAGACTGTAGGTGATCCATCGCTGAGGTCCTGTGCTGTTATTACCAGTAGTAGACCAATCCAGCTTCAGTTATGGGGCATATTGCAACAGTCACTACTAGGTCAAATATGAGACTGTGTAGGTGATCCATTGCTGAGGTCCTGTGCTGTTACTACCAGTAGTAGACCAATCCAGCTTCAGTTATGGTGTTATTGCATCTTGGTGCAGTATGAGGCTGTTTTACGTGATCTTGTTGAAAACTTATAGTAATTATAGTTATTTTGTTCAGCTGTTCAAGATAAATATTCGTAAATCTATGAAACTGTTCAATTGTGTTTCTCCAAACACCGGGGCGGTGGGGTAGCCTAGCGGTTAAAGCATTCGCCCATCATGCCGAAGACCCGGGTTTCGATTCCTGACCTTGGTACAATGTGTGAAGCCCATTTCTGGTGTCCCCAGCTGTGATATTGCTGGAATATTGCTAAAAGCGTAAAATCATACTGGCTCACTCACTTCTCCAAACATCATATTAACATAACTCAATGGCAATACCTTAATCCTTTTGAACATTTTTCAGTAACTAAATTTAGCATGGTACTTTTCAGTTTGTTTTATCTATCTGCAAGATCCTTGAAGAGTTAATTACAAAACAGCATTACCTTCTTTGGTCTAACATATTCCCCTGATTCAGCATCTAACGTCTTTCCTGCTCTTCCCAGGTGTCAGAAATACTCGACTACTGGGGTCAGAATTCTGGACCTTTGACCTGGAGGTTGACCCCTACTGAAGTCAGGCAGGTGCTCAGTCTCAGGTGAGTTGATTACAGGTGTGATTGAGTACCACCTATAGCTGAAAACTGTCTCGATTTTTGCAACGTAAATGTTCATAGGTATTATTAACTTAGAATTATGGTAATATTTTGTTTTATGAACATGTATATTAACTGTGTTGTTATTTTTTCACCAGGGTGGACTTTAGAATAGAAGATATCAAGAGGCTGAAGTTATGACAGGACTGTTTACTCAAACCCAAACATGTCTTTCACTTTATCTCATCATTCCATAACCAACATGGCTGTCTCATGGACAGGTCATGAGACCACAAGACAAGGGAGGTAACTCTCAAGACTACACACGATTGTAATGGCAGCATTATCTTTGATCTGAAAAAACATGGTAGTCTGTCTACCAAGAGTGATGTCCTTATAAACAACATGTGATTGAGGGCAGAGGGTGTAATATATGGAGGGAGTTTGATGGTGTACTGTCAATAATATGCATGTGCTCCCAAGCTCCTCACAGTGACATCTCATTCCTGTAGCTTTCTATATTACTGCCTATCACCATGTTAGATGGCCTACAACCCTGTATGGAGTTGTTCATCATGTTAACACTGTTGTGATGCTGTGTTCCTTAACTCTACTTCATTGTTTTGTGGATCAATGAGTGAGTATGGTTTTTACGCCGTTTTTAGCAATTGTCCAGCAATATCATGGCGGAGGTCACCAGAAATGGGTTTCACACATTGTACCCATGTGGGGAATCAAACCCGGGTCTTTGGCGAGGTGAGCAAACGCTTTAACCATGAGGCTACCCCACCTCACAGCCCTGTTTTGTGTTGAATAGAAGCTATACCTCCTTTTAACTTTCAGGTGAATAGTGTGATGAAAATGTAAGAAGTTGGGTGATTGTCTATTTGTTTGCAATCTCAAATCGTTATTTTTGTAGGAATAACTATAAATTGATCTGATAAATAGAGAGTATGTCCTTTTGTCTTTTCAACAATTTACCACAATAACATTTCAGCAGACTTATATACTTTTAGGAACAAACTAAAATCATCTGGGAAATAGCAAGTAGCTCAGTATTCATTTTCACAAATAATCAAACATCCATCTTCTCCCTGACATTCTCGTCATATTATTTACCGGATAATTAAAACAAACTATTATTTCCATTTGATACACATTTTGAGTTTGTCGGCTTCGTGTTGATCATTTCATTGGTCGGTCAAAGTGTGTGAAAGGCCTCTCTAACGTGATCTGTGATGGGATGTTCTCCGATCTTTGTGAAGCGGTAGGAAGCACTTAGTTCGGATTTTAATGAGATTGGAATGGAACTCAAGTGACACCTACAAGGGGAGGTTATCCATAGTGGGAGGTGACAGTTTCTTATTGATGAGCTTATGTCCAAGCTCTTGCTCGCATCCCTCAAGAGCAGTCTGTGATACATAGAGGTTGCCTGACCAAGGGTGTCTGTCGATAGATCCTCAAAGCTCTGTGTCCAACACTTTTCGCTTTCTGCTCTGTCTACAAATTTGATTCTCAAGTGCATCATATCTCCATCATGTTATGATCAATACCCAGGAACCATTGGCCACCAGGGGGCACATGTGGTCCTGTCATCTAAGGCGCCCAAATAAGGTTTGCCCTGATTACTTTTCTCAGTTTGTCAGCACCCTTGCTCGTGGGTTTCACTAAAGTGGTCAACGTCTAAGATCTGCATCACTTTGGGCTTTCCTCCCACATCTAGCTGACATACCATGATATAACTGGAATCCTGTTCCAAGTGACATTATGTCAGACTCACTCACCACTCATGTCACTACTATATCTTCATTTGAGAAGTAACGTCGGCAGGTCCATTTCTTTCATCACTAATTTAGTTTAGAATGTCTCCCCTATGAGCTTGAATTCAGCAAGCAGTCAAAACACCCTTCTGAACGTGACTACATGGAGCTACATTCAACATTGCAGCCTGGTACGAGACAGCCCTCCGTGTGTTTAGTTGAATCAGAAGACTTAGAAATTAACTGGAAAAGATTCTTTCCCAAATACTAAGATAAGGAGGAGGTTACAGTACATTCCAGATTTATCTGAGATGGCAAAAGTCGAGTTGGGTACTAGGGATATTTCAAATTGTTTCTATCACGAATGAACAGTGAACTTCTATGGGACGTGTTTTCGCGTCATGTTGCTTGGACCTGATTCAGAAGGAAGCTATGAAGGCAAATGGATCCAGTTAAAATGGAGGTATGATGCTGTGGAGAATTGAGGATGCTCTGTCTACTGCTTTTGCAAATTCTTCCTTCCAACTTAAGACGTATATATGATCTATGTACGTCTTTGTTCCAACAAATGAATTGAAATTATTTATGTGAAAATGTCACATTAAGTATATTTGCCTTCTTGGTATAAAATGGGGTGTTATTTCATTATTGGATAATTTGAAATATTTATATATATAAATATTTGTTTTTGTTTACTATGGAAACAAATGTTGAGTATTTGTTGATGAGTTGGAAAGATTCTGAAAACATTCTGAAGGAATAAATACTCTAAAAATAGTGAACAAAGAAAAGCAATAAATATATGATTTTTATGAAGTATGATGCACAATTTGGGAGAGAGTCATGAAATAAAGTGGCAGTTTTGTACTTTTGAAATATCAAAACCTGTGTTACTTTCATGAGATATTAATCAGCTATTTAGCAGAGGGTGGGTGGGAGAGAGTCATGAACATTATGGACAAATATTGAGGGAGAGTTTCAAAAACAAATCATCTAACATTACATAAATCATGGCCCCTATCTGCAATGGTAACATGAAGTCCTCAGCACTGCAAAGCCAACATGTTGCTCTGCAATGAGTCCAGTTAATGTTTTTTGTATGTTTGCTAGCCAGTGTGAATGTGCATACACATTTGCAGGGGGGGGGGGGTCGTGAACGGAGGGAAGGAAGGGAGATAACTCTCTGAGGCACACATGTTCTGGAACCTGCTGTGGTTGTGATGGGCACAGGGACTTGTCAGTGGAGGTGTATATAGCAAATGTATGTAGTCCATGCTACTGCTCACAGGGTGTAACTTATGTATATTGGTTCTGTATATTTGTACATAGTTATTGTTCAGTGTCATCTATTTCAAGTAACTCCATTGGTGTTTGTTACTCATAAATCAGGCTGTATGTGTGAATTATAGGATTATGATGCAAACCTGATGTTTGTTTACAAAGCTGAATTGTTTTACAGTGAGAAATGTCATCACTTTGGATGTCTGCCCATCAAAATGTGAACAGTGTATAACTCTTCATGTGAACAGTGTAGATATCTCCATGTGAACAATGTAGGTATCTTCATGTGAACAGTGTAGATATCTTCATGTGAACATTGTAGATATCTCCATGTGAACAGTGTAGATATCTTCATGTGAACAGTGTAGATATCTTCATGTGAACATTGTAGATATCTCCATGTGAACAATGTAGATATCTTCATGTGAACAGTGTAGATATCTTCATGTGAACAGTGTAGATATCTCCATGTGAACATTGTAGATATCTCCATGTGAACAGTGTATCTTCATGTGAACAGTGTATCTTCATGTGAACAGTGTAAATATCTCCATGTAAATAGTGTACTGGTAGATATTTCGATGTAAACAGTGTAGATATCTCCATGTAAGCTGTTGATATCTCCATGTACAAAGGGTAGATATCTCCACATAAACAGTGTAGATACTTGTTCCATATTAATCTGTGATCAACTGAATGTGCTATGCATTATAAATGTTGTGTCATTTGTATGTCAAGTGTGAACAGAGATGTGAAAATGTTTCCTCATGGGCTGTCCTTGATTGTAAATCTTAGTATTGAGACATCAATCCAAAATATAATGATATTCTAATATAAATATGATTTTTCACAATATGATTTTCAGTTTGTAACTGAGTAATTAAAGATTTTGATCATTGTAACATCTTATACCGTATTGGCCGTTATAAACGCCCTGGGTGCTTAGAAAATTGACAAAACCATAGACAAGTAAAGTTTGTTTTCAGAGGTGGAGCAAAAGTGAACAAACTTAGGTCAAATGTAATTGTAACTGAAACGATTTCCATTATAGTTTTTAGTAAATTTATACCCATTCTTTGCTGCTGGTGTAAGTAGAAAATCTGTAATTCTACACAAGAAAATATGGACTGTAATATCTTAGCAGGATGCTTATAAAGATTACTTACAGATTGGTCTAGAAGTTGGAAAGGGGGTGCTTACTGGAACAGAGCACTTAATACGGCGAATATGGTAATTCATGTTTTTCCTATTTTTTGGGGGGTGCAGGTGGCCCAGTCGTCTAATGCGCCGCAATTCACTGTGCAGAGTTGCGTCCCTTGGGCACGCCAGAAACCTATGATTGTGGGTTCGAATCCCGGTTCACCCCGATTATGTTTCTAGGTTTGTCAGCACCATACCCGTGCTCGTGGGTTTCACCGAAGTGGTAAACGTCTGAGACCTGCAACACTTCAGGCTTTCCTCACACATTATGTTATACAATGCCATGTTATAACTGGAATACTTTTAAAAAAGGTGTTAAACCCAACTCACTCACTCACCCACTCCTATTTTTTGCCTATGTGAAGCACAGGGGTCACAGTGATGTAAGGTGCTGCAATTAGCTCTGCTCTGAGCCCCACATTTACATTGCAAATTGAAATGAAATACAAAGCAACAAAATGTAGTCTCTCACTTTCACAGATATTAAATGTCATTGTTGTCCAAATTCCAAATACTTGTCAGTTGAAACTTTGTCCAATATTTCAAAGTATTAAACTTATGTTTTGTATTGATACAGCACTGGAAAACATATTGTTGTTAAATTGTATTTGTGTCCATTACATGTTTATCAAAATACTTAGCAATCTAAATATACTGCTTGTTGTTTTATGTGTTTTTTTCTTTATCAAATACTGTGTTAGAGTTTATGGAAAGCCTTTTAATTCTTTTCTGTTGCTTTATAATGCTTGTTGTCTCATAGTTTTTTTTCTTCAACAAATTCTGTGTTAGATTTCATGTGAAGCCTTTTAATTCCTTTAAGTTGGTTAAAAAACATCTTGGGAGAATCAAAGAAGGCACTGATTCCAGGATAATATTGCTGATAACTACACCCAGTTAATTATATGCTTTATTTTTATACTTTCCTTTCACTACTTACAATACTGAGTGGGGGCACGGGTGGCCCAGTCGACTAAGGCACCGCAATTTGCTGTGCAGAGTTGCGTCCCTTGGGCAGCCAGAAACCTATGATAGTGGGTTCGAATCCCGGTTCGCCCAAATTATGTTTCTAGGTTTGTCAGGACCATACCCGCGCTCGTGGGTTTCACCGAAGTGGTAAATGTCTGAGACCTGCATCACTTCGGGCTTTCCTCCCACATTAAGCTGACACGCCGTGATATACCAGTGACATACAAGATGGCCGACATCACTAGGAATTGCTGTTGAGTTGCGGACATGTTAGCAATATTCCCTTACATGATGGAAGTCAGTTTCGAGAACATACATCATCAGGGATGATGTTGTTGTGACCTGTTTGTTATCCTATACTACTCAAAAGAAGTTAAAGAACCCCCAAGTTTTTCATATGACGATAGACCCGTGAAGATCCGGGTAGAGAATAGGTCTTCAGCAACCCATGCTTGACGTAAGAGGCGACCATGCTTGTTGTAAGAGGCGACTCACAGGATCAGGTGGTCTGGCTCGCTGACTTGGTTGATGCATGTCATCGTATCCCAATTGCGGAGATCGATGCCCATGATGTCAGTCACTGGATTGTCTGGTCCAGACTCGGTTATTTACAGCCCGCCATCATATAGCTGGAATATTGCCGAACGGGGTGTTAAACAACAAACAAACAAATCATATGACTTTAGTTAATCTGTCAAGGCTGGTGGGTATTGCAACACACACCCTTCCAATTGTGGGTGTTCTTGTTTTGAGTGGTACATATGGTGTTAAGGAGAAGTCAACTGGGTTATGTCGACACCATGTCATGGTTGGCCCAGTCTCAGCAGGCAATATGGTAATTTCCCCTCCCATCCTGGACACTGAAATATTGGACAGATATACTATATAGGTCGGCATGTCCGAGAATGTTCTCCATGTTTCCATCTACCGCCAATGATCATTTCCAAGCATACACACAGCGTTATACTTTGGTCAGCTTAAGATTGCCACTGGGAGAGTTTGAATCCCAGATTCGAAACTGATTGTGATTCTTGGTTTGACAGCACCATGCCTATGCTCATAGATTTTACCAATGTTGTAAACCTGTCATAAACTTGATGCATCACGATTTAACTAACATTTTGTTTAAAGCAGTGTTAAGCTGCACTCATTTCTCAGTATTTAGCTTTGTATACTAACATTAGTTACTTTATCATGAGCATATTTGCAGCATGGGCACCTTGTGTTTTGTTATGATCTGTTACAGTAGTGTTAGATCTCACTGTTAATACCCCTGTGAAGATCCGGGTTATATTAGGTCTTCAGCATCCCATGTTTGTCCTGAGAGGCGATTATTCTTGTCGTATGCATGACTAACGGGATTGAGTGGTCAGGCTCGCTGATTTGGTTGATGCATGGCATCACAGGCAGTTCCAGGGATGTTAGCAAGATGTTAGGAGGATGTTTATATGTCTGGATCATCACCTCTGATGTTGTTATATGTGTGAGTGAGTTGATAAATGGGTGAGGTATGTATGAGTTTCCCATTCCAAAACAAACCTGCAAGAGTCATCATCGTATAAGAAGCAAATGGATTTTGTTTATTTTGCAATGTTTCAGTATAGTTTCTGGATGTTTAGATACAGATGCAGGGGGACAACTAGTAACACTGCAACCAAAATCATAAGATGTCAATAATCTAATTACAAAGATAACAAATATACACCTGAAAAAATGTTAAGCACCACCCTTTGTTTGCATATATCCCTTACTTCCAGTTATCTTTTAGAAATATCTCCATAGCAACTTGATTTTATTTTGGTAAATGTTTAAGGTACCACTGATACCTGGTGTACAAGAAGACTGTTTCTCTAGATACTCGCAAGTACTTAGTTTCATCATATGATGCAAAACCGGAGAGAAAGCAGTTGAAAAGGGAGTCAAATGACTTGCCAGGGAACAGATACATTACAAACTAAATTTCAGTTTCTGTATTTCCATATAAGTGTCACTTTTTGAAAAAAGCAAAGGTGGTTTGGTTTGTCAGAAAGCTATAACAGCATACACCTTTGAAATATGGCTATTTTATATGCAACCTAATACAAATAGTAATAACCTTTTCCCAAGTGTATACCTAGCTTCAGGTGAATCTTGTATTGCAACTGGTTTGTCATTCACTTGTGTAGTTTAAGTTTAAAAAATAATGTAACCATAATGTGTAGAAATGTTAGTCACAGATTACTGCGATCATTTGTATAATAACATTTAGACAATGTTCTTGTCAAGCACAGTTTGTATGGTGTAGATCTTTGATAGCAAATACACCCACCAACATATTTCTGCAGTGGCCAAGGGTCCTGTGTCCAAGTGGTCTGTGGTGCCACAGTCACTGAGATGCGTCTCTTAGGATCACTTGATCATGGGTTTGAAATCTTTGGTCTGTTACACCATTCTCCTTCTTGGTGTTTTTTTAGAAAACGTGGTGACCTTTTTACAAGTATTTGAATTTGGGATTTCTTCACAAGGAGCTGAAACACAGTGATGTCTGCTACACAAAAGAAGTAAAAGAACACCTGTTTTTTTTTCATATCATTATAGTTTATCTCTCATGGCATGACACTAACTATGGTATTATGAAAGAATTGGTGTTCTTTCGCTTCTTTTGAGTAGTAATCTGACAACAGTGGAAGACACTTAACTTACTCGTCATTCACGGTGATGCCATTGTGGGACACCTTTCTTCCTGAATGATCAAACATAGCTTTATGTACCGTGATTCAGCCTCATATTTACCATTATTCGCCAATCATAATATGTTCATTATCAATCAATAATCACGTGACCATTATCACCCAATCATCATATGACCATCATCAACCAATCATAACACGTCAGGGAACAATGTATGCGTGGGAGACAATAAAACTGTGGTTTTCGATTCCTTCTTTTGTCATGTTTTATCGCTGCTGAATAACGACTGATGCTGTGTTCAAGGTATATTTCCATCAGATCTCTCCATGGTTTTAGTCGCAGAATACTTGTATGTCTTAATCTGTGGCTAATCTTGTCAACTGGAAAACCATGCCGATATCAGAAGTACTGAATAGAAATCCTCTTTAGTGAAGTCGGAAATTGTGTATGTGCGTTGTTTGAGCTTAGTTCACCAGTCAGTACCATACCCGTGATCATTGGTACCTCTAAATGCAAGATAGCCTCTACGACGTGCGTCACATTAAGATGAAACAAGAAAGAGGTCACGCCAAACTCGTTCCTTTTGATATGTATTCCCCAACCAACATTCTACAGTCACTGAAAAGGCTAAAACGAATGCGACATTATTCCACTACAAGTTTTTGAAGTCGAAAACTGTGCCTAAGTTGAACGGCAGTGAACTGTCTGAAGGTATTTCTTGGCGGGAAATGGGGCATTCATGGAAAGTTGACATGGCAACCAGAGTGGGGCGAAGAAGAGATTGCACTGGCAGAAGTAATAGAAAGTAACCCATATCTCCTGGGCACTGTTCCACCGAGGTCTTTGCACCTGCCGACTTTTGTCTATTACAGCTCGCGGAACAATGCTTGGCGTACTGACACTACTTTGTCTTGCTGGTCCATTGATCATGGTCAGTAGAATTGAAGGATGACGTCGGTTGCTCGATGGCCTCATGCATTTCTGAAATCTAGATCGTCACATTGTTGTTGAGAATTAAAACACCATTTATTGAACCATGTTTTTTGAAGTCACACACCATGTGCGCAAATACATACTGACCCTATGTGCTCGATTGTTTTCGCCTTTCAAGATGGCTGTTTGACTTCCCTCGTATATTTCGTCAACCCTTAAACTTCACGTCACATGCTGGGAAGATTGACTCCTTGGAGGAGACGAGGGAATCTTTGATTTTACAAGTGATCTTTGATTATTCTTTGTTGTAAAAAGGTTTATGCATACTAGCGAGCGGACCTCGGAGAGAACAATCTCCCCTGGACAGCCGGGAAACAATAGTCTGTAACGCTTAGCCAAAGTGCGTTTCTTAACATGGGAAAAACACGAATAGCAAGCTAACTACTATATCAATACGGACGATGTAAGTATTAACATATAGCGCTAAACATAAGCTGTCCAACGGTATCATTAACGATTTACAACAAGCTATGTACAGTTATTGAAGAGACAAACACTGATCATAAATACTGTTATAGTGCAAACCATTTCAATACTTTTACTTAAATAGT